GAAGGAAAGAAGGCAGAGCTGCTCAGCTCTTGGGCTGCCCTTTTCTCTGCTGAGGAAAACTATCTTTGGACTGGAAAACAGAACAAAAATGGCGATAGGGAGAGATGATAACCAGTGTGAATAAGGTGACAGTGAGAGCACCTGCTACCCCAGAGCAATTCAAATCACCAGGCTTGGGGAATTACATCCTAGGATGCTAAAATAAAAGCTGGGATTGTTTCATTCTTGGTTTCCATACCTCCCTGTACCCAGCACAGTGCCTGGCTGCCCATATATGTGAGCACTTGATAAAATTTGAATGACTGACTGCTAAGTCAGTAATCTTTATAAAGTTGAGGATAACCAGAAGATTAGAAAAGGGCAAATGGCCTGATTTTTTTTTAAGGAAGACAATGTAGGCAGCAAACTCTAGGCCAGGGAGCCTGCCTCCAATTCCTGACAAAATTCTAGAAGCTGATGATTAAAGAGGTTAGCAAACACCACCTCGAAAAGGAAGTGCCTTCCTGAGGGACTGCTCATACAGAAGTGTCCGCACGATGACTCACATCCCACAAACAAAAACATGAAAAAACGGCTGATGGGCCAGAACCACCTATCTTGGCCCCAGAAGAGAAGATGAAGCCAATTCCCCAATCTCTCCCCTCGCCCCCGGACCTCTCCTCCATAGAGGCAGGGTGCTACAGGCCCTGCCTGTGGCTTACAACCAAAGGGAGCTCTGCTTTGCTGGTTTTCTTTGTGACAAAGGAGGATTCGGTGATGGGGAGCCCAGAGGATGTCAGACGGTGCAATATGACAGTGTATAACCATGTCAAGCCAGCCCTTTTTTTCCTCTTCAATAGGGTGAGTAGCATGGTGGATGAGGGCACGCTGAAGACAGTTTACTGAGATTTTCCCTGAGGTGACAGAGTATCTTGTCCTACTCTTGTGAAAGAGATGGTGATGTCAGGCTGGAGGGCTCACCCCAGAGGACAGTCATTAAGGTGTGGGCCTGATTTGCAAGGAGGCCCACCCTCAGCCCCAGGGATCTCAGCGTCACTCATCAATGCATTTGCTTTGACACAAAGTTGGGAGGAATAGTTAACACCCTACATGAAGTTAGAATCCAAAAAGATGTTGGTGAAATTGGACAAATACAGCAAATTGAGTAAGCCAATCACAGCCCTCATTTATGTTTATGTGCTTAGTTATAGTTATACTCATATGCTTGATGGTGTGCTCACACCTTATCTCTCTCACATGTTCCTCACAACCCTGGGAGGCAGGTGCTATCAAGCCCATTTTAGGGAGTGAGAAGCTGAGGGTCCAAGGGGTTAAGATGAAGTCACAGATGTCAGGATTTGAACACTGACCCTCCTAACTGAAAGTCGGGAGCTCTCAGGAGACTGAAGCTAAAAATGTAATGGGTAAAAACGTGGAGTTTCACATTGAGGTTGTAAAAGCTGATTTCAAAAGTACAAGATGGGGGCAATGTGATCAGGAGGCAGCTTGCAGGAAAAGCTCCTTCACAAAATGTAGATGACACCAGAGCCCATCACGAGGGTGGCCCTGCAGCCGTGGACCACATCAAGGTAAGCAGCATGTCCAGGAGAGGGGGAGGCTCACCATCCCAGCGAGGACAACTGGGCTCAGGGCACAGAGCTGCCTTTGGGAAGGACCCCGAAAAGGAAAAGGCAGGGAGGGTCTCAAGTTCATTCCATTCACCTCAGACACAGCGATGTTCCTATCCTCCAGCATCCCAAGGGGTACTGTACTTGGACTTGAGACCAGGAAAAACTTGCTAACGGTGAAAAGCCGTCCAAAAGACAGCTTGGGAGAAAGCTCCTTTCACAGTACGCCTTCAAGCAAAGGCTGCCTGAATGTCTTTGGAGATGTTCTTGGTCAGACCAGAGCTGGACTGGCTGGTGTCCAAGGTCCTTTCCTGCTCAGATTCAGAGCAGAAGAGAGACCTCTGTCTTCTCAGGAATGCAGGTGATGTTAGGGTTAGAGTAAATCGGAATTAGAGAGGTGGAGTCTTCTGGTGAGAAAGAGGAGGAAAGGGAAAGGAACTGGGGAGCGGAGGGGACCGCAAACGATCGTGCTGGCAGATCCTCCCACCTTCATGACTAGCCTCTGTCTCCTCTACATAATCTCCAACTCTATCACGGGTGATGACCTCGAAAATCCCACCCTCTTGGTCCCTCAAACTCAGCTCTCAGGACTTCAATCTCTCGTCTACCTAAACAACCCATCGGGATAATTCTACCCTTGGACGTTACCGTCTCTCCAAACTGTTTCATCTACAATCCTGAACTCTGGAATTCCCCTGACCACAAACATCCGGTCCTCCTACGTCCTCATTCTAAAACCTCTGGTCCCGCCATCCTTCCTTGTGTTTTCCCAGAATCCTTGCTGCAGATTCTCCCCTCCCAATCTCAAGCCAGTCATTAGCTTTGTCCACATACAGTTAACTCTCGAATCTTTCAGCCCACTTTTTCATGCCTTGCTAATAACTGCCACCCTTGGATAACTCCTACCACCTGCCTTCTCTGCTTCTCTGCTTGCGTTACTGAACATGACTGGAACAAAACTCTGAGCTTATTCACTGGGTCCACCACAAGTCCATGGGTCCTCAGAGATGCACGTGGCAATTTTTTCACTCATTCTAATCAGCTCCCTGTTGAGCCATCTTCAGTCGTCCTGAACTATATCTGGCCACTGGACCCAGATGGCTCCATAAGCGAAGGTGAGGCTGGTGACTCTGTACAGCCCTCCCTCACTTAAATCCAATTTACTTGCATGTCACAGCATCACCTTCCTGACATCGAGGTCCTCTTCAAGAATGAAGAGCAAACAACAACAACAACAAACTCCCTGTTATGCTGCTTGCAACAACCAGATTGACAACTAGAATCACAGACTTGGAACTGGAAGGGGCTTAGAGGTCACTGAGTTTAACCCCCTCATTATATAAATAAGGAAACTGAGGCCAAGAGAGTATAAAGTGACTTGTTCAGCATCACAAAGCTATCAAGGGTCAGAAGCAGGAGTCAAACCCGTCTTCCTGACTCCAAGCCCAGTGCTCCATACTTTGTGGTTCAGAATCTGAATTCCATTTAATTCAATTCAATCCAGTAAGCATTTATTAAGTTCCTGTTGTGTCAGGTGCTATGCTCATTTCACCAGTGTGGGGGAACTTCTGGGGCAGAAATTCCCTTTCCTGAGGTGGATCAGGAGCTTAGTCTGGGACCCAGAAGAGGAGAGTTCAGGGCTGAAGGCCCTGAGAGGTCACACAGAGCCAGTACACTGGGAGGGGCAGGGCTGGAACGCCCACCCTCCTGTCTACAAAGGCAGCCCTCCATCCACCATGCCACGCCGAGGGACTGTTCAGATGTCTGAGGTCCGAGGCAGCAGGAAAGTAGGTTCTACTTTTCCATGGCAAGTCGCCTTCTCCAGTTCCACCAGAGAACTCTCAACAGAGGCCCAACTCTGGACTGTTAAGTCCTCTCTTGAGGGGACTATGTCAATAGAGCAGTACTTGGGCCTGCACACAGTGGGTCCCATAGACACCACTGAGCATCCGGGCAGGGGTTCTTGGCCTCGATGATGACACAGACTCCTCTGGCAGTCTAGTGAAGTCAACATCACCAACAAATCCATTAAACGCTTAGGCAGTGAAGGAAACAGAAGAGTCTATGTATGTGCGTATACACACTACACATACACGCGTCTACGTATGTGTATGCATATATGTGCACACATCTTATATGTGTGTGCATGCACATTTATGCATGCGTGACACACGCATGCATATATGTTTACTGCATGTATGTGCACACAAGGGTGTAATTAGGTTTCTGCGCTGGAGAAACTTACAATTTGGTGGATCAGAAGGAGCTGAAGGATAGGTGTCTGTACCAAGAGTGAACATTCAAAGTCACATGCTTTTTCTACAGAGCTTCTTCTAAGGGTTTGGCCCAGGTTCAATGGGCCAGTACCTTACAGATCCCTCCCTAGAGTGAACAGTTCATGATGACATGTTTGCCACTCACTTTGTCTCTGACATTAGTCCGTTAGAGAAATCAAATGCCAAAACTGTTCATGAGAAAAGTATAGATGAATACTGATTTAATTTGCTTTTTAGGGATTATTAAAAGAATCATACCAAAATTTGGTCACTTAATCTCTGCTAATGTTGAGGCTTTCTCTCAGAATATTTTTAAACGTGTCAATTAAAGCACACAGGATTACAAAGGCGACCAATTATATTTAGTCTGTTGTCTTCCCCCACTGGACTGTAAGCTTCTTGAGGGCAGGGACTGTCTAGCACAGTGCCTGGCACATAGCAGGAGCTTAATAAATGTTTTACTGACAGACACATATGATTATCAAGAATATTTTTAAAACAAGCTCACAGTCCTCAAGTTAAGAAGCCCGGCTCTAGACGGAAACAGGATTCCACATCGAGACACTAGTGCTATCAACTGTCACTGTCCGAGACGTGCCGGTCCTATTACTGGACGGAGACTGAGAGGGTGTCCGAGTTCTCCAGGATCACTGTGCTCCTCTCTGGCTTGGACACAGGAGCAGAGCCAAAATGAAGGAGATCAGTCAGGTTCCAGGCCTCATCTCTGATCTCCCACGGCCATCCCTGCCTCCACGACAGAGAGCACTGAGCCTGCCCTGCAGAATTCGGATGCACTGCCCTCCAACTTGCAATGCAAACCTAAGACTTCCAGGGGCGGTGCTTTACTTCCAGGTTAATCTAGCATGCCCAAGTACCAGCTTCCTAATTTGACAAAGCACAGAAATCGCCACTCCCTGTCCTTCCTGCCTTCCCCTCTGAATATTCCCGACCCTACAAAGAAGCCATAACCTTGATCTCCCACCACGGCTTATGCACAGCTGCCTCCTTCCTTGGAGTGGCAGCTATGGATGGCGTAAAGCAGGTGGCTGTCCAAGAAATCATAGAGAGCTCCCAAAGCTGACTGAAAGCCAGGCATACATTACAGATCACAGCTTACCTTGTGTGCCGATATAAGCGTTCTTCTGCTTATATCCATCCATGAAACTGGCATTGATGTAGTCTGTCTGGAAAAGAAAGAATGAAAAAGAAAGAAAGCTCACTCATTCTTGCTGTGGTGGAGAAAGAAACAGACTGAACAAACACAGGGCAGGCCCAATTCGTAGAATGGGAGAAGCTCAAGGCTGGGCCTCAGGTGCATCTAGTCTGAGCTCGCATGGAATGAACTAAGTCATCTCCTCCACGTAACCCTGTCACTCCCTGAATCCTCTCTTCACTAAAAGGGGGGCCAACTTAAAGCTGCCCAACCCTAGTGACTGATTTCGTGGCTCTACCTCTCTTCCAGGATCTAGGGTCTACTGAGTCTGAGCAAGGGCAATAGTAGGCCCTCCATCTTAATATTCACAAATACAGAATGGGCACATGGCAAAGAACGCCCATCCACCAAGAGACACATCCAACCGTGCCAAATGTACAAAATATCAAAACCGGGAAAAAGAAGGGAAAGGAGGAGCAGGAAGAAACTGAACCAGGGACTTCGAGCGTATTCAGCCACCAAAAAAGAAAGTGCAGTGAGCAAAGGAGAGAGTCTAAGACGCTCATCTCTGCCCATCGCCAGGCAAAATCCTAAGCTGATTCTAAAACCCAGACAAAAGCCAAGGGGTGCTACCCAAGGTCCTTCTACCACGTGTGTTTCTGATGAAGCCCACTTATCCCAACATTGTCGTCCTTACTTCTACACAATTCCTGACTATGTCCTCTCATACCGTTTACTCCAAAAGGGGAGGGTCCCTAAGGCCACAATGCTTAGGGACTTTGTATCCACCAGTCATGGAGGGCAGAAAGAGGAAGAGGATGGAGAAGGATGGCATTACTACGTAAGTACCATTTCAGTAATTCTAAACCAGGAAAAACCTGGCTTCTGCTGCATGCTGTGGAGTTTAGGCTCCTCCCCCCTCCCCTGTCCCTACAATACATTCAAGGGCCACCGCCCTCTAGGGATGGCAAAATGACCAGCTACGGTCATCGGTACCCTCCTCATCAACCCAATGATTACTCAGAGACTAGGCAGCTAGTCACCGCCTTGTCAGAAGAGCCTGCTAATCTAGCCAAAGAGTCCCTATTCATCCCACTCCCCTCAGGACACACCCTCCCTCAACCCAAGAAAGTCTTGAGCTGTCCAAATAATTCTTTTTTTTCTTTTTGGCAATTGAGGTTGAGTGACTTGCCTAGGGTCACACAGCTAGTAAGTGTCAAGTGTTTGGTCTGAGGCCGGATTTAAACTCAGGTTCTCCTGACTTCGGGGCCGGCACTCTATCCACTGGGCCACCTAGCTGCCCCTGAGCTGTCCAAATTCTGCCTGGCCTCTGACCCACCACGTGGAGAAGGGAGACCATAAACCTACCACACTACAGCCAGGACAACAAAAAGGAGGGCAGATGTATGCATCACCTCTGCCTCAGCTACCCTCCCTAACACACACACCCATTCTCCTCCCATGGACAGCCTATCCATTACACCAGCACCAGCCTGGCATTCTTGAAGTATACATCTCTTCGGGGCACAAACGAATAGTCAGGTTGACAATCAGGTCAGCCAGCAAAGAGGGGAGCCACGCGAGCACACAGCCGTCAGCTCCACTGTGTACACAAGATTGAAGAAATAATCTAGAAGTTTTCATATTGCAAGAAGAGACTCCACTTAGCAACCCTGACTTTTATATTATGCCTCTGATCTAAGCAGGCCATGTGTGGAATCTGGTGCCCTTGCGTTCTTTGATAGCTGAGAGCCCCTGGAAATCGGAAATGTTAACTGAGGAAGATTTTAGAATTGGTGTACAACAGGACACAGACAAGAGTCAAATATTCCACCTAACACTGGCCAGACCTGACAGAAACTTTGACTAACAGACTGAGATTCTAGGAGCAAAACTTGGGGGTCAGAGGGCAAGACTTCATGGGACAGAGTGAAACTACACCCTCTGCTCATATTCCCTGCAATCAGAAGGACCAAATTCAGGAAACAATCTTCAGGTAAATAGCCAGAGGATAAGAGAAGGGCAAAGAGGCAGAGCGTTGAACAAATCTAGAGAAGGCAGAGACAAGCTCCAGAGCTCCCCGCTGATGGCACTGGACGGCAGGCAGGTGGCTCGCTCAGCAAAGCTTCACATGCTCGGGCTGCTCTGAGTCACCAACTCCAGAGGAGCTGCACATTTCAAATCACAGCTCTGAATCACAGACACGGAATCAGCTCAATGCCATCCTCTGGAGATGAAGGTGATGTTAGTGGCCTACTTCTTTTCTGAGAAAAGTGACGAATTTGGACCAGGCGAAGCATGCTCTCATCCAGTCCGTCTGGTGAAGAAGGGCACCCATTTACAAGTCAGATGGACGGAGATGGGGGAAACATTTGCGGCTATGGCACAGAGCGCATCAGTCCACACCGATGAGCTCATGTAATTACCACCCCGCATTCTGGCTGTCCTCTAAGCTCTATTCTTCCTTTCTGGGAATCTTCAGCTTCCTTCAGAGAAGCAAAGTGTAAGAGGGGACAAGAGCGCTGGACTTGGAGAACAGAAAACCTAAGTTCTAATTCTGCCTCAGACATTTACTAACCATGTGACTGCAGGCTCATTCCCTTACCCTCTTATCAGCCTCAGGGTCCTCATCTGTAAAATGGGGACAATAATAGCGCTTGTTGCTTACTAGCTGTGTGACCTGGGCAAGTCACTTAACCCCGAGGCCTAGCCAAAATAAATAAATAAATAATGGCACCTGTCGCACAGGGGCAGGGTGAGGATCAAATGAGATTACATATGTATTTCTTGTTGTTCGGTCAGTCTGTCATGTCCACCTGACCTTGTGGATTGTGTCCATGGGGTTTTCTTGGCAAGGATATTGGAGCGGTCTGACATTTTCTCCTCCAGTGTGTCCCCATTTTACAGATGGAGAAGTTAAGGCAAATAGGGGTTGAATGACTTGCCCAGGGTAACACAGCTAGCAAATGTCTACGGCCAGATTCGAACTCAGGACTCCCTGACTCCAGGGCTGGCACTCTATCCACTATGCCTCCTAGCCACCCTCAACATATGTACAGCACTTTGCAAACCTTACAATGTTATAGAAACACTAGCTATGATTATTATTAACTGTGATGAGGCCTTTCCTATACCCTACCCCACCCTCGATTGTTGGGGCTCACTGAGCGTGGCCCCTCGTGACTGGACATCTCTGGATCCAGCTGAGGGGGAACCCGTGAATCCCCTGATTCGGTGTCCAAACTCACATGACCTGAAGTTAGAATTAAAAGAACACATGCTCAAGGGAGCACTGACAGGGACATGGCTATCTTCATTTTACAGACCATTTTGTATTGGTTTCACCTCAGCAGAGCAGAAGCTCCCTGAGGGCAGGACATGTTATTTCTGTCTTTGTATTCCTGACATTGAGAGCAGCCTGGCTCAAAGAAGATGAACTCTGTGCTAACCCAATCAGTCACAAGCGCTGCAGAGTAAAAGGGGAATTTAGAGAACCATGAGCAGTCATTTATACAGTACCTACTGTGTGCCAGGCACTACGCTAAACGTTTTACCAATATCCTCTTATTTGATCCTCACAACAGCCCTCAGAGGGAGGTGCTATTATGATCTCCACTTTACAGATGAGGAAATGAAGGGAGGCAGAGGTTAAATAAAGTTAGACTGGAACGTGGGACCCAGCACTCTCTCCACTGGATCCCTTTGCTGCTGTCCAAGCTGGAAGGGTTATTTAAGATTTATGATTCAATCCACTTGTTGTTTGTCCTTCATTTCCAAGAGGACCGATGATATCAGCGGGGAGCTGTTTTGACTTGAGCATGAATTGGACTTAAGCGAGGCAGTGTTGTACAAAGTCATCAGTTTCATTCTTTCTTCCAGGGTCATTAAAATCCAGCGGCACAACAAAAGTCAGGATGACAGCGATGGGCTGGGATTCAGCGGATGACCTTGGCGCCTTCGATGTCCAACCAAGCTCCAAGCACTTCACAAAAGAACAAAAGTTCTCATCTGCCCATTCTACTATGGGAAGTCTTCACATGATTGGGGTGGACTCTCCCATCAGCTACCCTCAGCCTGGTTTAGCCCATCTGCTGAACATTTTATCAGGGTGTGGCCGCTGTGCACGCTACCGCTCCTTGGAGCCACAGGTGAGAGCTGAGTGAAGGTAGACGCCAAAGGTGGACGAGCAGCCCTGAAAAGGGCTCGGCAAGCCCTCACACCAGAGGTGCTGGGCCTCCTGAACACCCCCGTACCCTTTTTTTGATTATCTGATAGATGAAGCAGATGATGTCGAGAGAAGGAAACACTTGCTAATGGTCAAATGTTTAAGAGCACAGTCCAGCCTAGAACCCAGGCTTTCCAATTAAGTGCTCTCTGACTATGCTTCACTTTGGAGTTACGTAGTCTTTGCCCCATCGTTTCTGAAAGCTAAGCCTTTATATGTTGTTTACCTGGGTGATACCACTCCCTTTGGTCAACTTCACTCGGGTTTGGTCCAGGCACGGCACGTCGCCATATCGGTTTTTCTCCAAGTTACCTGGTGACCTGGAGGAGAATAGACAAACAAAAGCCAAAGTAAGGGGACTCAAAGACTATAAAAAGCCACCTGTCAACAAACATTTCTTACTAACACAATCTCAAAGAGAATTCAGGTTCTTAGTCATTTAGAATTTACTCCCCCACCTATTTCCAGAAGGAATTTTAGGGAGTTTACAAAATTAAACAAACATGAAATGAGATAATTAAAGACAAAAACAGAAAACCAGTTGAAAGGACCAAATAAAAAGATGTTACCAGGTGCTTCTTACAACCGTACACAAGCCCCAGGCAAGAGTAAAGCCCTGCTGTCTATCCCATAAGCTCCAATGATTGAAAGGTTCCACCTTGTAAGAAAACCCCTGGATCCCTTCATGTGGGACAGAGATTGAAGGCTGTAAAGAGTCTGTGTTCATGTAGCTCAAAAGTGAGGGTCATGTGAGTGCCTCCCTAATAAAGGAGGCATGGAGGAATGTTGATAAAATATTGGATGAGTTGTCTAGATGTGGATTCAGCTAATACCAAGCAATACTGCCTCCTGGCATCTTCCTGACCAAGGAAAAAGACAAGGCAGAGGGACCTTTTAACAGAGGACAACTGCAGAGTCACCCCGCATAGGTAGAGCTCTCTGTGTCAGCAAAGGCCACGTCCTTTCCTATCAGCAAGCATGCCGCTCTCAGTCATGGGAGAGCCCCTGACAAAGAACTAGGAGCAGGTGCACATTTGGGCCTGACAGGGGCTGCTCCTGTGACAAGGAGCAGCACCTTGGTAGTGATTTCTGGGAGGCCTGGCCATCGCCCACTCACATGGAACAGTGGAAGGTGCCAACAGGGTTCTCTCGGCGAATGTCCTCGTACTCTTCGTAAATCCCCCTCTTCTGCCGGTGGCTGAAGTGTTCCAGCAGCTCCAAGATGGTCATGGCATGGGGGCCCGGGATGTGCACTGAGTCGCTCTCCTCAGAGGGAGTGAGGGACAATAAGATAATTTCATCCAGAGGGTCCAGGTGGCCGTTCACTTGAGGCAGAAACTGGAAGTTCCAGCTGGTGAGGTCCAACTTTATATATCCCCCCAGGCTTTCAGGAAGGCACTCCCGGGGCAAATGCTGGGTCAGCTCACTTGTCCTCATTATCTGAATCTGGATGGGCAGAAGCATGAGTAAGTAAGATAGACAGACAAATAAGGAATAAAGGAAGAATTCTACTCACAAGGGAACTGGGAAACAAAACGAGATTTACCTAAAATACAGGGAACACTAGAAAAGGAAACAGGGTGGGAGTCATCTATCCTGGGCTAAAACCCTGTGATATTTCCAGCCATGAGATCTGGCATGTTCATCACTTGTGCAATGTTGGGATAGGAGGGCAGCATTTCACCTCTTAAAGAAAGTCCTAAAAAGGGTCCCTCATCTCCCCAGTTTGCCCAGGCTGCCCATAACAGTGCCCGCCTATCAGCTGCACACAATGTGCAATAGTATATTTAGCATTTTTAAGTTAAGAAGCGTTTTGATTCATCGATCAGTTCTCTATAGGTGAGTGTCACAGGCACTATTATCCTCATTTTAGAGGCAAGTTGGCTGCCCAGGGTTGTATGCAGTTAGGAAGTACTGGGGTCATTTCTGTCTCCTTTAAAAAAAAAGTAGCCTTTGAGGGGCAAGGTGATGCAGAAGGAACACTGGACTGAGAAGCAGAAGGCTTCAGTTTATTTCTGAGCTCTGCCAGCGCCCTCCTATACAACTTTGGTCTTGACCCAATTTTTTTCCTTGTATTTCAGTATGATGGGCTATAAAATTGGAAGCGAATACTGCTCCTGCTTGTCCCTCGTCTAGTACACCACGTCAAAAGTGAAGGAGGCCAGGTCTCAAAAGCCTTCTGAATCCCTCTCTGAGTTGCTGGGTCTCAAAGCACTCTGAGGGAAACCTCTGCTCACTAATTCTGGTACACTTGATCATCTCCTAAGGCATCAGCCCACCTCTGTGCAGACCTGAAGCTTAAAAGTAGGATTACTGGACCTGGAGAGAAACATATTAAATGGCTACCAGAGACAGAAAATAGAGTTTCCTGTTTCCATGATCATTTCTCTTCATTTAAATAATTTTCATTAGATTTGGCTCGACACTCAAGGAGTGCAGATCAGGGAATGAAAAGTTGGGGCAAGTGACCTGCCCTAGGTCACCCTCTCATCCCCACCAGACTTTTCTTTCCTTAGTTTCCAGTTGAAGGGGCTCCACCCTCCCACAAGGGTTCAGTGAGCCCTCCTTACCCTTTCACGGACTTTGTCCTTCAGCAGGATACTGATGATGGAATAGGGCACTCGGAACCACATGGGCGCCCCTACGATCAACACCTTCTTCAATCGAGCTGGGAAGGCTCCCTATGGGCGGCACACACATGAAGCATTTGGAAATGCAAATCACTACAATGAACAGGTAGAATGAAGCTCTGAACAATTTAAGGCCAGGATTCGGGCTTCTAGCTCCACTCTGGCTTCTTACCAGTAGTAATCAAGAAAGCAAACAAACAAGCATTTATTAAGCATCTACTGTGTGATGGACACTGTACTAGGCACTGGGGATGCAAAGATAAAGTGAAACAGGCACTGTGCTCAAAGAGCTCACTTTCTCAAAGGACATCAAGATACACTCAAAACACTTGTGAAGCAGATGCAACGTGACCTTAGAGAAGAAGGCACTACCAGCTGGAGGGATCCCAAGAGGCTGAGGTCAAGCAGTACGGAGAGCAGCCAATACAAAGGTGGACCATGGATAGAGGAGGCGCTAGTATAAGGAAGCCGGAAAGGCAGGAGGTGGCCAGATTGTGAAGCCAAACAGAGCATTTTATATTTTATCCTAAAGGCAACAGGGAACCACTAGTTGATTTGGGACCTAGAAAAAAACAACAACAGCAGTTTTGTGCAGGATGGATTGGAACATGGAGAGAGACTTGAGGCCAGCTGGGAGGCTAGGGCACTAGAACAGGTAAGAAACAATGAAGTCACGATCTAGACTGTGGCCATTTAAGGTGTGAGAAAGGGTCAGCTGCAGAGGACAAGAAAGCATTCGGCACAGACTGGATATATGAGGTTTGTGAGAGGGAGGAGCTGAGGAAGACACTGAGGGGCCAGACGTGGGTGCCTGGAAGGAGGCGGATGCCCTCCACAGTAATAGGGACGATCAGAAGGAAGGCAGGTGTGTGAGGAAAAGAGGATGAATTCTGACTTGGACATTACTGAGTCTGAGATGCAAACAGAAGTCACCTGTAGAGAGATAATAACTGAGGCCAGGGAGCTGATGAGGCTACCAAGGGAGGGAGCACAGCGAGAAAAGAGGAGAGGACTTAGGACAGAGCTTTGGGGGGGCTCCCACAGTCAGTGGGTGGGAGAAGTTTACAGCTTAAGTTTCACTAGTACTAAAGAGAAGGTACCTGCAAGGGAATTAGAAATTGTAAATTGGTTTATTTTAAAGAGGTAATTGTACATTCCTAGTGCCTAGTTTCCTAGGTTCTAGGAATAGGGAAAAAAAAAGAATTCGAGGGTTCTTAATGTTTCTAGGTAGTTTACTGATCAACACTGGTTCTGATGTTCTTCACCAGCAGTTAGCCAGCCTACAACATGAACAAGTTTGTGCCTTAGAAGATTTCTCTGCTCATCAACTGTCTCTTTATTCCTATTATAGTAGGGTTAAAATTAGATTTAGAGCCAGTGTGGCTGACACTGGACACTAAATTTTAAAACATTTTTCCCCTTAAAAACTGAAAGAAAAAAAAACCTTCATAATGTTAGACTTTTCATATAATGAACATAACAAGGAGCATCCACTTCAACAATTCAAAAAACATGTGCTAGGTTCTGCGGACACAAAAATGAAAAACTACATGCTCCCTGTCCGAGGGGACTTTACAATCAAACTGGAGGGTGGAGGGTGGTGGGAGGGGTTATTAAATAGACACAGATATGTATGCTAGAAGGCAAAGGAGAGGTCTAGAAGGAGGGCCACAGCAGCTGGAGGAAAGCGCCACCCCTGTCAGCTGGTGGGCAGTGCGAGGGTGGAAGGTCACAGAGGACATGGAAGCATTTTCCATAGGAGGGGATGTGGAAGAAGGGTGTGTGTGCAAAGACACAGGACGGAGTGGGGGGAAGAGAGTGGGCCAAGCTGGCGGGAATATGGAGCATGGGATAAAGGACAGCCTTGAGAAAAAGGCCTGAAACAGGGCCACAGAGATAGGCTGAAGAACACTTCTGGGTCTTGGTTCATGCCCCTCCTTTCCTTCTTTGCTTCGAATCCCTCCCCATCCTTTAAACCCAACTCAAATACCACTTTCTGTCTTAACCCCTGAATCATAAACAATTCTCCCTCTTCAGACTTCACCTGGCATTTGTTTTGCAGTTCTCTACCCCATTTACCATGTATGTTTCCTCTCCTCTCCACACCCTCCCCCATAATATATGCTTAAAAAGTATCTGGGGGTGTTAGTAGAGCCAGCCAGGAAAGGACTTTAAATACCAGACTAGGTGGTTTATATTTTTTCCTCTAGGTCAGTGGTCTCCAAAGTCCGCAGGTGGCATGATCCCGGGGTGTGTGATGCACCAACCAGAGGGTGGGAAGATGAAGCATATCCCACTCTCCTTGCGGCAGCCAAACCAGGGTCTTGTGTCCAACACCATTACACCTCTTCTTTACCCATTCTACAGCAGTGCCCCCTGTGCCCCTCCCACAGCATGCAGCCTTCCACGGCTGAGTGAATTCCCAATCTCTCATCTCCACCAGCCACTGGCCCTCCAACACCGTTATATCCTCCTAAGGACCTGAACAGGGGATCTATACGGCCCCTTCTTCTCTGCACCCATGCAGTCAACACCATAGTTCAGACCCTTATGAACTCTAGCCTACTCTATTGTAACAGCCTCTTAAGTGGCTGGGAATAAGCAGGGGCAGGAGGGCTTCAAAGGTAGAGTACATTGTTTAAATGACCGACAGAAGGGTCAAGAGCCTGGATGGAGAGAAACAAAGCCAGAACAAGAGTGATGGGATGGGAGAACAGGGAGAGATGGAGAGACCAGGGATTTTTAGAGACCAAAGAGCAGGAAGAAAGGCAGCTGGGCAGGGAACTGAAGAGAGGCAACTTCTAAAGCTCAGACACAATGCGGGAGCTGGAGGTCACAGTGCAGTGGTCACAAGTCCAGAAGAGGCTTAAAGGGAGGCCTCCTGATTGGGGTAACTAGTTATCTCGGTCTACATCAATCAAGCCACTGCAGGCTTGTTGTTGCTGTTACTTTTAACAAAACAAAGTGTTTGTTTCCAGTTTTTCAATACTTTAACCCTTCACATGAAGAAGTTATGATATGTAACTTCAGTATTCTTGATGAGCGAGTTTTTTCTTTCCCCCACAGCAAGAAATGTGGCTGAAAATCTCCCATCATTAAAATAAATGTGTCTTCTCCAACTGATAAATGGTCAAAGGATGTGAACTGGCAGTTTTTCGATGAAGAAATCAAAACTATATATAGCCAAAGGAAAGATACTCTAAATCATTATCGATTAGAGAAATGCAAATTAAATCAACTTTGAGATATCATCTTACACCTATCAGATTAGCTAAAATGATACATGCCCTTCAATTGGGGAATGGCTAAGAAAGTTGCGGTATATGATTGTGATGGAATACTGCTGTGATATAAGAAATATGCCAGTTGATTTTAGAAAAACATGAACCTCTGAAGGAAGATGCTATCCACCTCTAAAGAAGGAACTGACAAATAAAAATACATATAGTATGGTCTCACATATGTGTGTGTGTGTGTATATATATATATATATGTATGTGTGTGTGTGTATATGCATATATACATAGATCTATGTTGATATAGATATGTGTGTGTGTGTGTGTATATTTGTGTTTAATTGTAGCCTTCTCTAGGACAGAGTGCAGAGGGAGGGAGAAAAAAAATAAAAAGTGCACAGCAGAGAACAAAATAAAACTTAGAAGGAAGCACAGAAAAACAGGGTAGCTTTGAAAATAATGTATAGTATTTATGATATAGTTTTTTTTTAAATAAAGAGTCTGAAATGGAAATTTCTGTTTTTATATTGAATCCTCTCTTTATGTTCTGCTGTGTAGATGGAAATATTCTTTTTTCTCCTAGTTTTGTATTTAAGTTGAAAATGAATAAAAAAAATTTTTAAAAATAAGTATATCTAGCATAAAATAACTAGGAGTTAAACTACTACTCAGGCCCATAAATGCAACTACTCAATACTTTTTTTTTACATAAACACAAGAAGCCATAAATAGCTGGAGAAAGCTATTCATTGCTCTTGGTTTGATAATGCTAATACAACAAAAATTACAACAGTACTGAAATCAACATACAGACTCCATGCTGTACCAACTGAACTAACAAGGAGATGCTTTACAGAACTAGACAAGGTCACAAAATTCATCTGGAGAAACAAAAGAATCTCGAGGGAAGTGAAAAAAGTAAGAATGAAAGAACAGTGAGAATTACCAAATTTCAAATCGCACAATAAAACATTAACCACCAAAATAATCTGATATCAGTTAAAAAACAGAAAAACAGGATCATGGAACAGACTAAATAAACAAACCCCAGAAACAATGGAACATGGCAGCCCTCTGTTCAACAAAGCCAAGAAAGCAAACTACTGGGAGAAGGGTTCCCTAATCAACAAAAATCATTAGGAAAAACAGAAAGCAGTTTGAATCGCAAAAGAGTATGTGGCCTAAATACAAAGGTCAGATCATAAAAACATTAGAGAACACAAGGAAGAACTTTTCACAACCATGGCAAGAGAAAACTTCATAATCCAACAAGGGGCAGAAACAATCACAAAAGATGAGATCATTTTGAATGCATAAAATAAAAAAGCTTCGGCGTTAACAAAGTCCCAAGAGCTAGAATAGAAACTGTTGCTGGGGAGATGGAAAAAAAAAAACCTTTGCATCAAATGTGTCTGATATTAACATAAAAATGTAAGACCAAGAGTTATAGCCCAAAAGGATAAGGTCAAAGGAGACGAACAGTTTTCAAAAGGATGATTTAAAACTGTGAGCAACCTTATGGCACTAGCAAGAACAATGCAAAAATTTTTTAAAATTCTGAGCTTTTATCAGTCACCCAACAAACTGGCAAAGATGACAAAATAATAGAACGTCAGCGTTGGAGGGGCTATGGGAAAACTGGCACACTAATTCAATACTGGTGGAGCTGTAGCTTAGTCTAATTGTTGTGGAAAATATTTGGAATTAGGTGAGAAAAATGACTAAATTGTTGATACCCTTTGAGCCAGTAATCCCATAATTGGGAACATACGCTGAAAGGTCAGGGTTTGAAGGAAAGTCCCCATATAGACTAAAATATTCATAGGAAACTTTTTTTGTGGTAGGAAAGAACTAAAATTCAAATGGGAACCATCCATTCAAGAATGGCTGAAAAAGTGGGGCACTGGGTGTAACAGAATATTGTTGGGCAGTAAAATGACAAACATGAAAAATTCAAAGAAACATGGGAAGACTCGTAGAAATTGATCAGTATGAAGTGAGCAGAACCGGGAGAACCATATACACAAATGCTTACAATAATATAAATGTACATAACACTAAGAAGACTCTGAGTAATCTTAATGGCCAGTCTTCGTCCTGGAGAAGAAATAGAGAAATATGTCACCCTCTTCTTGGTAAAAAGGGGAAGAGGGATTACAAGTACAGAATCTTGCATACACGAGTGGTTCAACATGTTCACCACATGAGTTGGTTTTGTTCAACCTTTCTTGGTTTCAAAAGAGATTCAACGCAGAGAGCTGGAGAGGCTCCATATTTGGAAATGACAAGCCAATATGTGGAAAAGGCATCTTTTTCCAAAGAAAATAGCTTAGCACAGTGCCTGGCTCACAGGAGGTGTTAGATAAATGCTTGTTTCCTTTTCCTTCTTTCCTTCCATCATATCCTAGCAAGTTTCTCTTTGCATTTTCCAAAGACCTGTGGATAGTTTACCACATGTTTTCCTTGCCGTTATTTAGTTCCACTCCTCTTCCCTCAAAAATCAACTTCTCTTGGCATTATTACTTTGTATTACCTTAAACTCCCTTGAATCAGCTTCTACTATAGGTATAATATAATATAATATAGGTATACCCAAATATAATATAACACAGGTATAATAAAATATAATACAATATAATAGATACACCCAAAGAATTTTTCATTCTCAGGACCTCTTCAGCAGAGCCATTCAGGGAGTCTCTTACCTCCCCAGTCTATATACTGCATTTCTTTATGGCTACCATAACAAAAGTCTCACCTCAGAAAATATAATTACTTGCTCACTAAGGAGAAATTCAACTCTTTGCTAAGTCTGCTAGGTGGAAGGCCCTGAACTAGGGGTAGGAAAGGAAAGTCAGTTTGCCTGTTCCTCTAAAGCAAAAGGCTGCAAAACTATGCCTGGCTCTTTTAAAAGCTATTCGTGTAAGGAAAGTCATAGTCCATTGGGCTAGTTCTAAATGGCTCACTCTTAATAATGCTTAAATCTTGTTTCTGTGTAGTGGCAACTGTAATCATGAAGCTTATGTTATATTTTAGATAGAAAACTAGAAATCTGAGAGATTCACTATTAAAACTTGAAGTCTACCTTTGTTTAGAAATGCAAAGTTTTAGGTCCTTATCCTAAAGTTGAAAATCTCCCTATCTTTATCATATTATGTGTTAAAAATCACAGTAATTTAAATCAAACAGAAAACTGGAGCTAGGGATGTGTGAATAGCCTGTGCATGTAATTTTTTTTCTTTCCCAACAACAGAGGAACTCTGGTGTTAACAAGATATAAAGTTGAAGGTGAGAAAACCATATTTCAAAATATATGGCCTCAAATTCATGCATTTCAAGTAAATCTAGCCCAAATACTCAACTCTCCCGTGAAATCTTAGAAATCTTGACTCTTATAACATCTTAAAGGTATCTTTTGGGACAAGGGGACAGTCACCTTGCTCATCTCTTCACCTTCACCCATCTACTTTGTCATAAAAGTTGTTTAGGGAAGGGATATCCACCCCACTCCTTGGTAATCCATAACAAAATGGAGAAGACGAGAGCCCACCTGCATTCTTAAGAGTTCCTTACCTTCAGAAGGTTTAGGACTTTCTTGCCAAGGTCTAGCTCGAAGTTGTTATAATTGGAACCCCCCATGTCGTAGATAAACACTAGTCCATTCCTTTGAGTTTCAAAACTGAAAGCCAACAAACAAACAAACAAAACACTGTTTATACATGAGAAGATGGATGGGGCGAAGCAAAGACACACACAGAAATGTGTGTCCAAAGATGGATGACCAAAGAGAGGTCCTGAAGTAGAATGGGCTGCCCCACTCAGAACGTCCCCTTCACTCAGTCTTCCCAGGAGGGTTGGCTGGCCGTTTGTTAGGGGTGATATAGAAGGGATTCCTGTCCAGGTTCAGCTTGGATCAGACCAGAGTACGGGACAGATCTTGAACCAAAATGATCATTTTCTTAGAGAGGATCATCACCAAGATTTACCTTTGGAATGCACTGTAATTGTGAGCTCAAGTCTGCCCAACTGCCTCTGGAGATCACCAAATCATAGATCTAAAATGAGAAGTGACCTCAGAGGGTGCTCAGTCCTCACTCTGCAAATGAAGATAAGGAGGCCTAAGGAGCTAAAGTGCTTTGCCAAGGCTACATACACAGGAAGCATTAGAGAAGGGATCCTGACCCCGGTGCTCTTGTTCAGAGCCAACGCCCTTGTCACTCTATGTCCATCACAAGGCATTCAAGTAGTGCAACAAATAAAAAGTCAACCACGCTGGCAGTTGGAGATCCACCCTGGGGGACTTTTCATTTGTACGATGCATGGGAGGATCCTAATTCTAGTTACTAACTTTGAAACAGAAGGCTAGGTTTCTTCCTGATCACCTACATGGGTTTTCATCTTCTGATATCCAAATGGAAAGGGGGCAAATACACCAACTGTCTACAGACAGCACTCTAAAGTATATGAAGAAATGGAAGAGGCTTGTGAAAGGGACAGATATCAGCAGAAAGCTGAGATCTGCCACTTTTAGTTCTGGGAGAACGCTAACCAATAATGGTCCTTCAGTCCCTCCCACATATGCAGCATTGACTGTCCAACCCCAACAGATCGACTACTAGGTTGGATCTAGGCTGGACCCCCTCTCCTGCACACCTGAGCCACATCCAGAATTCCAACCTCAAAAGGAAGGCAGAAAGACCACTTTATTGGGAACCGGAGATAAGCAAGTCACATCCTCTGGAACCTGTTTCCTCATTTACAAAATGAGGAGCTGAGGCTAAAGTCCTTTCCTGCTCTGACATTCTCTGATTTGTTAAGGGGTCCCCTGAACTTGTCTTTGCAAGTTGCCATATTTCCAGAGTCTAGGAATATGTTTTGCTTTATAGGTGTTCTCCAAAGTCATGCCAAGAGTCTGTATCTACTTACGTTGAAAAAAAAAAAACCCAAATGTCTAATGTCAGAGACCTCAGGGTCATTTTGCTTCATGAAAGTCATGTTCCCTTAACTGCTTTAATATAATCCTAGAGAGAAACACACACAGCACAAATAGCACTTGAAAAATCTCCAATTCTATAAGTACCTACGGTACAAGTTTCTCTAAATAGTTTGGTGTCAAACTAGAGTTCTTGAGAAGTCTAACTGAGCCTGGGTACTTGTCATTTGTCTATAAGCTCATACAGTTCCAAATTCAAAGGAACAGGAGTCTCCCTTTCAGTAAAACATCCTGGAATATAACAGGGAGGATGGAAACACACACAGGACTGGGAGAAAAGCAGAAAGTATAAAATCTAAGCAAAGGTCTGTACTGCTCAAGCTAAACATCCTAGATCCACCACAGCTGAGCTCCGTATAGAAAGATTAAATAAATACAAATCCAATAGAATTTGACACTTTCCATCTGGATGCTTTCCATTCCCAGTAGAATAAACAATGATGTGACTTATAGTCTCTTAGTTACAAGGCATGGAATTAGTAGTGGAAAGATGACCCTTCTCACTCTTCATTCACTCATTCATTCACTCAACCATCTAACATATTGAGCCTTTCCTATCCTCATAGCCCTAGGTTAGACATTGAGGCCAATACAAAGACCCATAAAAAAAGGGAATTTATGACTTAGTTGGGGAAACCAAGCAGAGATAAGAGATTAAATAATATTACAAAGAAATGTACGGCCAATTGAATGGTATATGCTTGTAGGCTTTATAGATGTGGATAAATTTGAACTAGACCTTGAAGGGAGGATGGGATTTGGATTAAAGTAAAAAGAGGAACCTTAAGTGAAGACAGGAAGTAAAAATGTGTATGCCATGTTTGGGGGTGGCAGTGCACAAGCCCCACAGGTTGGAAGGGAAGGGTTCATGAGGAGCTAAAGTTAAGTTGGACAAACCGAAGTCAAATGAAAAAAGTCCCTGGATTCCAGGCAAAAGAATATTAACTTTATCCTATAGGTAATGGGTAGTCAGGGAAAGTTTTAAAGCAGAGAAATGACATAATGAAAACAGTATTTTAGAAAGACAAACAGGGTACGGGGGAAAAGCATGGGAATTGAGAAGGGGGGGGAAAGAGGCCCTGATTAGCTGGGTGACTTCTCTGGGTCTCAGTTACCTAGCTGACCTGTAAATTCCACGATTCTATTAAATCAGTGAGATCATTAATATCCATCTGGAAAATGAAGCTCTGGGTCATTACACAAAGGACCCCAACCCCCTGTGACAACTGTCATAAAAGTCTCTGGTACATCTATGGGAAGAAGGGCAAAGTGCCACTTCTGGGAGAGAAGTGTAGAGCTGAAGCCCTTCAAAAGAAACATACATTTTAAGAGCCTGCTTAGAAACTATTCGGTGAAGAAGAGCTGGGAAATTCCTACTTTGAGAAAGAGAGTCTGGAAGTACAATGCCAACCCACTAGCGACTTTTCAGGGGGGAATACTGTACTTGCAGTCCAAACCTCTACCAATTAGAGAGAAGCATTACCCTCCAAAGAAGCTATGAAAATCACCAGCAGGAAGGAAACAAGCACTTACTAAGTACCTACTGTGCACCAACCACCAGGCACTGTGCTAAGGACTTTACAGACAGGATCTCACTGGCACAGCAAAAACCCAGGTGTCTCCCTCATGCCCCCAGTAAATCACCCCCACCCCTCTACTGGCCTCTCCAAGGTCACCAATGGCCATTAATGGCCAACCACAGTGGGGCTGCATCCAGTGCTCCTCCACTTCAGCAGTATTTAAGACACGCTCCTCCCTCAAAGTCAGTAACGCTACTCTTTTCTGGTTCCCTGTGGCTACTTCTCAGCCTCCTCTTCTCACCCTCTCAGTGTTTTCTACCTGATCCTCCCGATAATCTTATCTACCCCCATGACTTTAACCAGAAAGTGGATCTCTATGTCTCAGCCTTCACCCTCTCAGATCCTCATTTCCAGCTGTACTTCAAACTCAACATATCCCAAACTAAAGTAACCACCTGACGATCCCCCAAACCTGTCCCTCCTCCAACTTCCCCATTTTTGTCCCTGACAATCATTCTCCAAGTGATCCAGACCCTAGCTCTCAAGGTCCTGTCCTGTCCTGTCCTCTTCTCTCTCTGTCTCTCTCTTTTCCCACTCCCCATATCTGGTGTCACTAACAAGTGCCCATCAATCCTGGGCACGCACCTTGTCTTTGGCACCCTGTTCTACTACCATCACTTTAGTTCAGGCTCTCATTGGTTCTCAACCGGAGCAATATTACAGCCTCTGAAATGATCTTTTCATCTTTTGTTTTAACATGTGCCAATCTATACTTCCCACTGATACCAGAACTACTTTCCTGATAAACAGCTCTGATACCATCCCCCCAAAAAAACTTTTAATGGTGCTCACTATCTGCTAACTTAACTAAATTCCCAGCTCCTTAGGCTGGCATTCAAGACCCTCCAAGATCTGGGCCTGATGGACTTGTGGCCTCATTCCCAACACTTCCCTTCATGAACCTTATCCTCCAACCAAAGAGGACCCAAATATGTCACCCTTTGCTTTGCCACGTCCATCCCTTTGCTCACACTGTTCCTCTCACCTGAAAATGTAACATTCTTAAAACCATCAAAATCCAACCCATCCTTTAAGGTCCTACTCAAATAACAACTCTTCCATCAAACCTTCCCTTATGTCTCCCTACCCCTACTCCAGTCAGAAGTGATCTGATTTTTCCCTCCTCTGAATGCCTATTGAATTTTATTTGTACCTCTAATGAAACTGATTTCATTCTAGGCTGTAGTTGAGAAAGGCCATGCTTGTCTTCTTGACTATATACTTGGAGGTCCTTGAAGGCACATACAGTGAGTGGGAAAGGGAGAAGCAAAGACTAGACCATGACTCAAACCTACACAGTCCTCAGCATCTCTGAACTTGACCGTGTCTCAGCCCACTCAGCCACTTTGGACAGAAAGGGCCATGGGACACTGTTAACTGTTAACTGTTAAGCAATCACAAATGTACATTGAAGATCTTGTACATACACATGCAAACATGTGGCATTCCCATCTCCTTTCTCCAACTACGAATTGCTTCTGAGTGGCTTTTTAATTTTCTCCCCAGTGCCAAGCACAGTGCCTGGCCCAATAGGGGGATCTAACGCTAAACAGAACGGAATTTTTGAAATAGTCCCAAGAGACAAGCAACAGAAATGTGAAGACCTGGAATTTGCATCATCATAATTTAATGAACAGGGTGTTGAACTGGCTAACAAGGAAGACAGAAAATATGACCTAGCTGAAAAAAGAGACCTGTATCCTCACGCTAATTCAATCACTGAATCCTCCACTAAGTTACCTCACCCATCTCTGAGCCTCAAAATGTTATTATGAAGGTCAATGAGAAAACACTTTGGAAAAAAAAATTTAAGTACTGTACAAATGCAAGGTAGTATCAATGTCATTCAATCAATGAGGATATTTGACCTTCTGGCTAGTTCTCCTAAAGCAGAGTGTTTACCCACGGTTAACGTTGCCAAGGTGATGCCTGTCCATAGTAGAGAAAGGGTGAACTGTATGGAGGGCTGCCCAAGGTACATGATGGGCAGAATCCTCTTTCTCTGTATAAACACCTCTGAATAAACAGAGGGAAACCAACACCTGTCTGTGTCTCCTTTCCCTGTATTTAGAGCCTAAGAGGACCAGGAAATTATCTAGGGGAGGGGTTCTTAACCTAAGGTTTGTGAACTTGGTTTTTGGGGTTTGTTTTTATCATTCTGATAACTGTATTTCAACATAATTAGTGTTCTCAGTATTCCTATGCATTTTACTCTGTGGTTTAAAGAACATGATTCTGAGAAGGGGCCCACAGGCTTCCTTCTCTAGGCTGCTGTCAAAGGGGCTTGTGACACAATCAAGGTTTTAAGAATGCTTAAAATAGGAAGGAACTGAGGCCCAGGAGTGACCTAAGGCAAGCTGGAAGTAAAATCTAGATTTCTTCAATCTTCATCTAGCGCCCTCCCTACCAAAGAATGCTGTCATAGGACCAGTTGATAATTAGAACTTTCAACAGAACCTGGAGAATAAAGACATAGAATCCACCCACATCAGTGGGGCCTAAGTTAAGACTTTGAGCAACTCTGAGAAGAGACTGCACACTATCTTTCACAGTTCTGAGTACAAGACTGGACAGATAGAATGAAATCATCTCAAGGGTTAAAAGGGACCTCAGAGACCACACATGAACAGGTAGCCCCTCCACAAGAACCCCAAAGACTCCAGTGCTGGGACTCCCTGCTTCCCCAGACAGGCCTGCCCACTTCTGGACAGCTCTAATGTAACTTAGCAGTAAAGAGGGCAATGGAGGCTCCAGAGGGATCCCGTGTGTTCTGGAAGGAAATGAGAAAGCTTTCCTTCAGTTGAGCTAAAATATGCCTCTCTGCATCCTCCATTCACTGCTGAGAGTTCTAACTTCTCTGTCCAACAAATCAAGTCGAGCCTTTCGGATGTCTGACGACAGCTACTGTGGGCCCTTCAATCTTTCCTCAGTTCCTCTGACAAATCCTCAGATGCCATGGTGGTGAGTCTCCTTCATCACTCACACTGGGCAGACTCCTAGGTTTTTCTCCAGAATCTAATTCAATAATCCAGAAGTACTGTGACAAGGACAGAGTAAGAAGGGTCTAGAATCTCCTTGGCTCTGGATACTACTCTTCTATTATGGCACCTAAGGTTATATGAGCTTTTATTGCTAACCCATCAAATTACTGACCCATGCTTGGTTTTCAGTTCTCAGAGATGTCTTCCTTGCCCACCATGATGTCTTTCACACAAACTATTGCTTAGTTATGTCTCTCCCATCTTGTACCTCTGCAGGTGATATTATTTACCCCAATTATAGGATTTTAAATTTACCCTTATTAATTAACATCTTAGATTCAGCCCACTGTTCCATTCCAGGTGCATTACAGTTCCTAGTAAAGACTGAGAAAGAAATTAAATTAAGGACTTGCCAGCAATTAGCAGCAGTCAGTAGATATGGACAGATTTCCCCAAGGGCTCACCTATCCATTGCTCTGTCCAGCAGGTAGAACAGAGCCTGGAGCACCACATGCTGGGAGGACTTGTGAGGATGATGTAACTTAGCAGTAAAGAGGGCAATGGAGGCTCCAGAGGGATCCCGTGTGTTCTGGAAGGAAATGAGAAGAAATGCTAAAGAATCCAATCAGGGCACCACCAAAGTCATTATGAGGGCTCATTCTGAGAGATTCAGGCCAAATGCCCTGCCTTGACCCGTGTCAACTATTTCAGGTGTCTGTTCTGCTCTGCTCACCTGACAGATGGTCCAGATGCCAGGGCTACCACACCACATTTTTTTCTGCCCATTTGCTTCTGCCTTTGACAGTGGTCACAGATCTGCTCTCACTAAGTCTCTTTCCCCCCCATAGAACAGGAAAGAAAGGGCAATATGGTAGAATCACACAGCAGGACCCCACAGATTTGTATCAAGTTTGAGAGCCCTCTCCCTGAGCTGGAAGACATCTCTTCCCAGAGGGGCAGGGCATGGCTAGCATAAGCTGCCTTAGAAATACCGCCATTTGGTTTCATGGGAAAGCAGTGGCCCTAACAAGTAGCCAGTTCGAGTGGAGGGAAGAGAAGTGACTCACTTTGGCAGACACTCCACCCCCCGGAGTTCAGCCAGCAGCCTGAACGGCTCCATTGTTCTCTCTCACGTCTCCAGGTCAGGGCACCCTCAATGAACCGCATTCCCATTTGTTAGAAAAAGAAGCCCATGTCTGACTGCATGGCAGCCTCACGGCAGCTTCTGCCTCCACTGCTAACTCTAGACTTCGGACAAAAACTCAAGGCCCCAAACCAAGAGGGCAGAGGCAGCTAGTGAGTCAGACACCAGTGACCCCAGCACTCACTAGGATAGTGAACTTCCCACTGAGGATTTCTGAACGGAGAGGGTCCTCATGAGGCCTCAGCTTGACGATTCCTTCTTTCCGTCGCATTTCCTAAAGAGGAAGCACAATTCACTGAGCACATCCAATAGTTAAATGTATTCAGAAGTATTTCCCTAGTAAGTTGCTTGCTAAATTCCCTTCCTGCTAGGCAAGATTGAAGAGTGGCCCAATTCCCTGAGATGAAGAGGCTTTGGCCAAACCAGCGAGAACCCTAGCACTCCACATTCTAAGGTAGGTAAATCCAAGGCCACGGAAGGTTGGCAGAACCCTTTTTGCACTAATCTGTCCAATAGACGATCGGAGGTGCTCTGGACCTCCCATGCCCAGAAATCTTTGGTCTCTATTACTAAGGCAACAGGCTGACCAGTGAATCAGTATACGTGCTCCTATGCCTCACACCAATTCTATGGCAAAAAATCCCCTTGAATTCAGCAAACATTTTGGGCACCTCGCCAGAATGGTTTTCTAACCCCAAAGTGACAGTCTCTATGTTTCCCTGAAGGGAATTTCCTTTGGAATTTTTTTTTTTTTTTTGTGAGTTGAGAAACCAGACCTGGGAAGGGGAGACTTTGCAAGAATGAAATAAAATTCCCTTTTTTTTTTTTCCGTAAATGGGATGGATCTATCAGCATCCCAGGGGCAAGGTCAGCATCTTCTAAAAACGGAGAGCAGTTAACTAAGACGCTGATGGAGTGGTAGTCTTTTCAAAGTCAAGTTCGGGCAGTGCCAAGGCAAAGAATTGGACTAGAGCAGCTGTTCTCTCCTGGGGCAAGAGTGCCTCCTTCTGATTCCCCATTAAGATCGGCTATTAACCTGACGGATGGCAGGTTTCTGAAAGGCCCCACTGCTAGAAGAGCTCCTAACAAGTCATGCAGGCAGAGGGTAGGTGAGCCCACGCAAAAACAGTTAGCAGGGAATGGCAGAACCCAAACTCAGAAGGGCAGCCATCTGCCAGAAGAGTGGAGACTTAGAGATGGTGCTGTTCAACCTCCTTGGTCCAAAACAGAGGCACCATCTTCCTACACCCTCATTTTCCAAGCCAGCTGATCATTCAGGCAAAACAACCAAATGGCACAATCCCCTCTCCATAAAAGATACTCAGCACTCCCCAGGAGGATGGGGGCATGGCTAAGCCATATCCACCCCACACCCAGTTCTGGAACAGCCCAGCTCACTGGGTTCAAGTTAAAACCATAAGCACATACCCTGTAGGCGTGGAACAATTCAATAGCCCGGAGGACATCAAACTTTCTGGCCATGAGGAACCTGACAGCCAGGTTCCAAGAGAGCGGAGACACATTGTACTGAACTGTCCACTTGTTAATCTCCTCCAGAAACTGCTTGGTGGCCTGTTTGACAGAGAAAGAGAACAAAGGACAAGTGGGAAAAAGGGAACATGTACATTAAAAAAAAAGGAAAAAACAAACTCTAGTCTTCCTCTGTCCCAATCAGATAAGGAAGTGAGGAATTCAAGCCCCAAGACCTCTGTTAGGAGATGGAGAAATCACAAGGATTGCAGCTGTCTGCTACCCACAAAAGAGGTAAAACTCAGGGCTGTTCAGGAGGCCAGAAGCCAGGACCAGGTTCACGGGCCAAGGTGGGGCCAATGGTATATGGGGAAAGAATAAAGCCGGAGACCAATGAGATGCAAATTACAGACGACTGGACCCTGAGGAGCCAGGATGTGGGCACATTCCAACAGTCTCAGCTTCTCCTTTGGCCCTGGCAGCCAATGAGAAATGAGCCCCTGCTCTGAGCGTCACTGAGAATAACAGGGCAGCCTCAAAGGCTAGTCCCTTCCCTCCCCTTCCTCACTGACCCAGTGAGACCTCGCTGTTGGGAAATCCACCGGCAATGTGTCACACTCTCTCTCTCTCACACACACACACACACACACACACACACCCGATGCCAAGAAGATGAGGAACCAACCACCAATAGCACTGTGGCTGACTGGGGTTGAGGGGCGAGTCCATCTTGGGGGAGGATTATAAGGTTCCATTTTCAGGCCTTCATTCCAATTGAACAGTAAACTTCTGAAGTGTCTACTATGTACACAAGGTAATCAGTTTACATGTGTCTAGAACTCTTCCTACGACTCAGTACAAAGTGCTTTTCTCATAGTATCCAGAGGAGGCAGAAAATACAAGTATCACCCCCACACACATCACCTTTGCAGTGGGGTGTATAAAAAGGGATGAGGCAGTTTCTCATTTGGAAAATATGGGGGGAAGGGGATCTTGAGGGCAAAGCCAGTACTCTTCTTTCTGGATCACAGATTTAGAGCTGGAAGGAGCCTACTCTTCGGTCAGAGGACGAAGCTGAGGCAGGCAAAGGTTAAATTGATTTTCCCAGGGCCACACAGCCAGGAGGTATTTGAGGCAGGACCTGGACTGAGGTCTTACTGACTCCAAGTCCAGCGCTCTGTCCACTGCGCCACCTTGCTGCCTATAATGAGTGCCATCTAAGACCTGAATTGGAGAAGCCATGGGTTCCCCCTCACTGGAGGTCTGGAAGTGAAGGTTCAGCAACCTTGTCGGGGAACAAGCATTTATTAAGAGCCTACTATGTGCCAGGCATTATGCTAAACTATTTACAGATATTGTCTCATTTGAACCTCACAACAACCCTGGTAGCCAGATGCTATAATTATCTCCATTTTATAACTGAGGAAACTGAGGCAGATGGAGATTAAGTGGCTTGCTTACATGTTTGAGATTAGATTTGAACTCAGGTCTTGCTTAACTCCAGGCCTAGTGCTCTGAGCACTGTGGTGCCCACTAGCGGCATGATGTGTGGTTGAGTAGATTCTTTTTTAGGTATGAGTTGGACTAATAGAGTCTTTCCATTCTGGGACAGTTAGTATTTTAAAAACTTTTCCCCTATTTTCTGTACACCCACCAGTGCCCCCTCCCACTTGGTGATGCCCTACAGTTTACTCAAGGTCCTCAAGGGTGGGTTCTGTGCCATCTTCTGTCTTTGAACATCCAGATCCTAGCACAGGGCCTTGCCCAGAGGACCTCACTGCACATTTCTTTTTTTTTTTCTTTTAAATAGTTTGAAACTTTTAAAAAAAATTTTTATAAATGTATTTATTTTTAGTTTTCAACATTCACTTCCATAAGATTTTGAGTTCCAAATTTTCTCCCCATCTCTCCCCTCCCCCACCCCAAGACAACGTGCAGTTTGATATAAGCTCCATATATACATACATATTAAACCCATTTTTCCATTAGTCATGTTGTAAAGAAGAATTAGAACCAATGGGAGAAACCACATCACTGCACATTTCTTAAGCCACATTCAGGTTGTGCCCCTTCTTCTCAGAAGGCAGCCCATTCCCTGCCAGCCAGCTGGCTGGGCACGTGGGACCCTGGTGTCAGGTGAGTCTGTTTGGTCCCCAGGCTCTGGGCCCCTCGGCAGACAGGCGGCTTCATTCCTGATTGTCGGCACCCTTGTGGATGAGGGAGAGATGAGGAAGGCTGCACAAGGAAGTCCTAACCCAAGTGGATGAGCTAAGGTGCCGACAGAGCCCACAGCTGCCAAGTGTCTGCCTGTCTCTCCAACTGCTGCTGAAGGGGAGGGTAAAGAGGCACGTGATGGGACGGCAATGACTTTGAGTACCGAAAAGCTTTACTACCAGGGCAACTGAAGGGGTTCAGTGATATTAAAGTAAGAGTAATGAACTTCTGTTGACACCAAAGGTGGTTTTCTCCTCACAACCCTGCAAGAGAGGCAGGGTAAGGACTCTTGCTCCTCTCTAAAAGATGAGGACACTGAGGTTCAGGTGACCTGGCTGCCTGGGAGTCAGGCTTCCACGCCAAAGGGCCATGACCTTTCCACCACACTCTGCCTCAAGCATGCACTCAAAGCCAACTGGATTCACAGGAGAGCCGGATTGTAAAACACTTAAGTGTTCCTGACTGCTCTGTCCTGTCACCCTGGGGATGACTGCCGAGCAGCAATCTGGGAGGCTCTCAACAGGAATGGAGGAGAAGAACCTCCAAGAGGCCAGCACAATGAATTGGGCCAAAAAGCAGAGAGAGCCAAGAAAGAAAAGCCATCAGGAAAAGCTTTCAGACCCATCATTGGGCTGAGGACCAGCTAAGTCCAAAGAAGAGAAATGGACCTCAGAAAAGACATCAGGGCTAAACCTTAGACATTCCTGGAGAAAATCATGTCCACCATAAGCATCAGAGGGAGGGCATATGGTAAGGTGAGAAAAGCCTTGGTAGCAGCAGAAAGAAATGAAATCCTGGCTGGGCCTGAAGCCCCCTCCTTGAAATTCTTCACTTATCTAACAAAAACCTCATTCTGGGTGGGACCTTTTCTAGGGTTCTTGGAAGCTACTGAAGAGTAAGAAAGATCAGAGCAGGATCACAGGGTGCCACAAGGGCCATGGTGAGCCCTTTCAGCCCTGTGGGGCTAGGATTGGGCAAATTCCAAAAAATCACAAATAAATATGTTGATGCATACGCAGAAGGGGGTCCCACCCTTTAGTCTTCCTCCAAAGTGAGCTGGGCCTGCCATCTTTTCCAAGTCGATTCTTCCTGGGGTCAGCACGTCTTGTGGCTCCACAGTGCGAGGGCCTCAAGCTGACCTCTGTCCCCCTGCTGGCCAGGATGTTATTCTTGGCTTTGAGCACGGGAACAATTCCTTCTGGTTTGGCCTGCCCGCCCACCCAAGCCCCCAGAGTCTGTTTTGTATTGTAAACAGCAGTGGGATATTTACAAGTACACAGACACCACCTGCTCTGATCCAGCCTGGCAACGGAAGGAACCTCAGGTTCTCCCTTGTGCTCCCCCTTCCATATTCTCTTTCCCCTGGGGAGCACCCAGGAAAAAGTCTGAGCTCTGGGAAGAGACCAAGGCCAGTTACATCATTATTAACAGGCACAGCTTCATGGCATTGTAGAAAGTGTTGGCCCCAAAGCCAGGAAGACCTGAGTTCAGATCCACACTTATCAGCTGTGAGATCCCAGGCAAGTCACTTAACAACTCCCTCGGCCTCAGTTTCCTCATCTATAAAGCAGAGAGAATAATAGCACTTACTCCCAGTCTTGTTGTAAGGATCAAATGAGAAAATATTTGTAAAGCACTTTGCAAAAAAACCTTAAAGTGCTTTATGTAAATGCTAGCTATTAACACCCCAGTAAGATAGGTGCTATTATTATCCTCATTTTACAGATGAAGAAACTGAGGCAAACAGGTAAAGTGACCTATCCAGGGTCACATATCTAGTAAGTGTCTGAGGGGGAGGGTGTATTCCTGACTGGCAGTGCAACCCTAAATGTGCACCTTCATTATTCCTTGTGTCCTCTCACCAAAGACGAACCAATCCCATTGAATATACCTGATTCCCAGCCCTACAGCCTCACTGGGCCCCCAGAAAGACCTGTCCCAGCACTCAGCCTCTGACTTCTGAGGATTAGCCAGTTCTCTGGAGGGGATCACTGGGATTCCTGCAGCTAATGGCTACTGTGTTTCCTAGGGAGAGGCTTTTCCCCCAGGGCAGTGGCTTATATCTAGTCCAGGCTTCTCAGTAATTCATTACCAGATGCTAACTGGGATACAATTCTTGGCAGCCATTCTTATAAATGCAGGAACTATCCAGCCTGAAACACTTACTGAATATCAGAGGATAGACACAGAGCTGAAAGGGAAGCCTCAGGTCAGACAGTCCAACTCCTTGACTTTATAAATAAGGAAACTGAGTCCCCCAAAGTCAAGAGACTTGCCCAAGGTCATGCCAGCTGGGAGTAGCAGAGACAAGATTTGAACTCAGCCATCGGACTCCCAATTGGGTATCATTTTTTACCACACGATGCTGCTCTATCACCTGTACAAAGCAGAATGACACGTCAAAGCTGCTTGGCTACCTCACCAGTAGAATGCCTCTAGGGCCCTGCTATAAGATGTCTAGCTACTACAGAGACCAAAGTCAAGATAACGTAGAGAGACCCCATGCAAAGGGATTAATGGAAGTACCAGAGACATTTCGTGACAGCACAGTTCTACTAATGTATGCATATGGTGATTTGCCAGTGGGCCAGGGAACTTGGGCCGGCTCTCAGGCTTGGGGGGGGACCCACTAATGTGGGTCTCTTGAGCTCCCCAAAATAGAGGTGATAGGTCTTTCTGTAGGGAACCTACTCTCCAGCTAATAAGATAATTCCACCTTCCAGTCTGTCAATCACTTAGGTTTTCATCTGCAATCAATTCACACTAAAAATAGACATTTTTCAACCATCTCACAGTTGGTGGTATAATTTGGCCTTGTTTTACCTCCATCAGACACTCAAGCCTGTTGAACAACATAAACTTAAGTTCTGTCCTCCTAGGTCCCCATC